GTTCAACCCTTTATATCGATGTCATCGGCGTAGGCATGTAACATGTGTTGTTTGGTGTACAGAGTGCCATTTCTGTTTACCTTTGCCTCTCGTATGACCTTTTCCAGCAAGATGTTAAAAAGGTCACACGACAAACTGTCACCTTGTCTGAATCCCCGTTCGATATTAAAGGGCTCCGATATGTTCTTTCCGACTTTAACTGCTGATCTTGTGCCACTTAAAGTTATCCTGCATAGCCGAATTAATTTTGCAGGAATGCCAAACGCAGTCGACGAATATGTGTCGATGTGTTTTTCGTGGGTTTTTCCAGGATTTGGCGCAGAGTGAAAATTTGCCAGGTCTGAAGCCGCATGGGTATGACCCAATAATGTTATTGACCATTGGCTTCAGTCGTTCACACAGTACACTGCATAGCACTTTATATGCGATGGGAAGGAGACTTATTCCTCTATAGTTGGCACATATCGTCTTGTCTCCTTTTTTGTGCACGGGACACAGGATGCTGAGGTTCCAATCATAAGGGTATGCATTCTTCCAGCCAAATTGTAGTAATCAGCTGGTGCATTCTCCAGCATCTGACCACCAGTCTTGAATAGTTCGCACATATCGTCTTGTCTCCTTTTTTGTGCACGGGACACAGGATGCTGAGGTTCCAATCATTGGGCATGCATTCTTCGAGCCAAATTGTAGTAATCAGGTGGTGCATGCTCCTTACCAGCATCGGACCACCATTCTTGAATAGTTCGGCACCTGCTGCTTTATTATTCTTCAGCCGATTGATTGATATTCTGACCTCATCTTGGCTAGGTGGTATACACTCTATACCGTCATCTATTATTGGTTCTGGGTTATCGACTTCACTGCTACTATTTGATACCAGAAGTTTCTCAAAATGCTCCTTCCAGATTCTCAGCACGCTGTCTGTATGTGTCACCAGGTTTCCTTCTTTATCTCTACAGGAGGATGTGCCTGCATCAAAGCCTTCGGTTTGGTGTTTTACCCGTTGGTAGAATTTTCGGACTTCATTCTGACTCCTGTACATCTCGATTTACTCACGCTCACGTCTTTCTTGTTCTTTCTTCTTTTTTCTGAAAATACGTTTTTCCTCTCTCCCTTTCTCCCGATAGTTCTCCATCACATTACGTGTGGCTACTGTCACGCAGGGTTGCCCTATACGCTGCGTTTTTCATTTCCGTAGCATTACGACACTCCTGATCGTAACACGGATTTCTTGATGGTGGTCTTTGGTAACCAAGTGTTGCTTTTCCTGCAGTGGGCAATTCTCTGTCATTGTGCTTCTATATTATTATCATGACAAGGGGTATCTGCTTTGTTTGCAGCTTTTCGACGTCGAGTTTCCGTGTTGTGTTGGATCGCACTTTTGCTGCTACATTAAGACGGGTGCGTACCTTGGCTGCCACAAAGTAATGGTCCGATTCGATATTCGCTCCCCGGATCGATCGGACGTCTAAAACACTGGATGAATGCCTTCCGTCTATCACAACATGATCGATTTGATTTCTCAGGTGCGTACCTTGGCTGCCACAAGGTAATGGTCCGAATCGGTCCGAATATTCGCTCCTCGGATCGATCGAACGTCTAAAACACTGAATGAATGCCTTCCGTCTATCACAACATGATCGATTTGTTTTCTCGTTGTTCGATCGGGAGAAATCCAAGTGGCCTTGAGTATATCGAGATGCTTGAATCTGGTGCTGCTCACTACCATGTTTTTTGCTGCTGCGTAGACAATCAACCTCATGCCCCGTTGTCTAATGTTTCTTCGTGGAGGCTGAATTTTCCGACGGTGGGGCCAAAGATATTTTCCCTTCCGATTTTTCCATTAAAATCTTCTAGCAGAATTTTAATGTCACGTCTAGGGAAACGATCATATGATGTTTCTAGGCTCTCGTAAAATATATCTTTGGTCTGTTCATCTTTGTCTTTGGTCGGAGCATGAGCGTTAATGAGATTGATGTAGAGAACTTCGCTTTTATGCGGATTATGGCAATTCGCTCATCTGCTGGATTGAATCTAGAGACGAGGTCTTTTATTCTCCTGTTAACCATAAATCCGCTGTTAAATTCCACTCTCGTTTCATGGCAGCTATAATACAGGGCGTAATCATCCGATTTACTTACGTCAGTCCCTTTCTATCGCATTTCCTGTAAGCCAATAACATCGGCTTTGTACTTCTTGAGTACATCCGCCAAAGCGAACACTGCGCCTGTTCTGTACAACATGCGCACATTCCAAGTGCAGATTCGCAGATCGCGGTCCTTTATACGTTTGCGGGGGTCGTCAATATTAGGGGGGTTTGGTTTCCTTTTCGTTGCTTTTTCATAGTATGTTGGGTTTTCCGAGTGTGGGCAACTAATCCGACGCCTCAACCCATTTTTTAGAGTTCTCATGGGTGAACTCGAGGCACATATTAGCTCACTACTTCATCGGTTGATGAAAAAGTAGCTCCCCAGGTGGTACCGCGGGGAGGTCAGTGTCCTCAATTGAAATGTAAGAGCGACCAAGATAAGCCTGGACTTCGCCATGTTAAAGCCAATCAGAGCCGTTGTTTGGTATCTATCATCCCCTACGCCATCAAGGAGTACGCCTATAATTTTCGGTGATGCTCAGAAAATCATGTTAGGATGAAGTGGAGCGACCAAGATAAGCCTGGGCTTCGCCATGTTAAAGCCAATCAGAGCCATTGCTTTGTATCTATCATCCCGTACACCATCAAGGACTACGCCTATAATTTTCGGTGATGATCAGATAATCATATTAGGATGAAGTGGACCGAAAACTTATTTTTGTATTATTTCGAGACGATCTATAACTATAAGCCGAACATCACAATACAGTCCACGGTGAAGGGAAGAATCTGGACAAGTAATTAGAAGGGCTGTACTGAATATTAGTAATATTCGGAAAATATGTGGGTGTAATGAAGAGGTGCTGTTGACCTCTAATCGGACAAGAGAATGCAAATAACACGAAATATTGCCCAGGCTCGGTATAAACATCCGCAGAAAGTTAGAGTTCTGTGGTAGTTGTGTAGGGTATCGTATGGTCATCGGCCCCGTCCGTTTATATTGCTCCGCTCACTGGTTTTTTGTATTATTTCGAGTCGATCTATAGGCCACAACTATAAGCCGAACATCACAATACAGCCCATGGCGAAGGGAAGAATCTGGACATGTAATTTGAAAGAATGAACTGAGTATTAGTAATATTCGGAAATATGCGGATGTAATGAGGAGGTGCTGTCAACCTCTAATCGGACATGAGGGTGCAAATAACACGAAATATTGCCCAGGCTCGGAATAAACATCCACAGAAAGTTAGAGTTCCGTGGTAGTTGTGTCGGGTAGCGTATGGTCGTCGGCCCGTCCGTCTATCGTGCTCCGCTCACAGGTTTATTGTATTATTTCGAGTCGATCTATAGGCCACAACTATAAGCCCAACATCACAATACAACCCACGGTGAAGGGAAGGATCTGGATAAGTAATTAGAAGGGCTGTACTGAATATTTTAGTAATATTCGGAAAATACTATTCGTAAAAAGTAGGGTGTAATGAAGAGGTGCTTTTGACCTCTAACCGGGCAAGAGGGTGCAACTACCTCGAAATATTGAGGAATAAAAATCCGTTAGAAAAAAGTTAGAGTTCCGTGGTAGTTGTATTGGGTATCGTATGGTCGTCGGCCCCGTCCGACTATATTGCTCCGCTCACAGGTTTTAAATTTGTGTTTTAGTATTTTTTTTACTTATTGCATACCCCTTTAGTTATGCCTCTTCGCCATGTTAAACCTTTTTTCTGTTTTGCGGTTTATTCTGCATATGTGCATTATAAACTTATTTGGTTTGCCAGTGTATAAGTGAGGGCCCATATGTGTGGGTGGGTGGGCGTGTGGCTGGCTGCCTGCCTGGATGGCCAATATTTATAATAAAACGTGTCTGGAGTGAAATTAAAATAATACCCAACCAATACTCACACATACATACTCACACACACACATACTCCCACACACACACACTCCCACACACATACTCTACCACACAACCAAACATCGAAAAGAAAGCGGAATAATTTTTGTTTGGATTTTCCGGAATTGCCGCTGTGTTGAATCAACAACCGCGGTTTTGTTTTTTTCACCGCATAAGCCTCTGGACTTTGTTGGGAAAAGATGTGTGACAGATCGAGGTTCGGAAATATGAATAGCTACCACTACTGCTTACTTTGGAAGCAGTTATAGAGGCAGGGGATGATTGGGATTATTATTTTGATAAAAAAAATAATAAAATATTTTTAAAAATAAATATTCCGAGTAGAGGGGAGATCGAAGGCCAATGGGACGGGGTTTCCAGAACCAAAATGCATTTCATGTCATGATTTGAAGGGGCATTGTTGTTGTTTTTTTTTTTGTGTTTCGATTTTGTGTTGACCGTTTTCTCATGGTCTTTTGTATTCTTAAATTTGACTTTGTCTGACTGATAAGGCACTAAGGGGGCCACATGTTGCCCACACATACTCTAGAATATTTGTTCTTGTTATTTGACATTGTTGACAACTTGACAATAACAACAACAATTGTTTTTTATTGTTGTGTGTGTGTGTTTTATATGTTTGCTTTCTTAAACCAATTTTGGAGATGTGGTATCTAGGGTGGGTATCTTGACAAAATGGTCATTGACCCAATTTTTGGGAACAAAAATTTATATGGGTTTGATGACCGATAATATAGGTTATCAAACCAGACACTATTTTTTTTATCAATATTTAGAAAAATATATTTTTTTTATTTCAAAAATTTCAAATTTTTTTTTTATTTCAAAAATTTCAAAATTTTTTTTCAATTATTAAAATTTATCGAATCCTCTTAGGTTTTCATTTATGTTAAAAAAAAAATAAAAATCGATTCAATATTTTATTCCTTATCCTTTAACGCAAAATTTTACTCATTCTTTGTTTTCTCCTTCTCTCTCTCTCTTTTTTCCTTACAGTTGACAAACCACCACCAGGCTTTCCCGTTATCATCCAGCATCCCAGCTTGCGTGTCATTGAAGTGGGCCATACGGCAACGATGCAATGTAAGGCAACCGGTAATCCAACACCTGTGATATATTGGATTAAGAATCAGACAAGAGTCGACATGACTAATCCACGATATTCGTTAAAAGACGGTAAGTGTTAATGAAACTTCTTTCCATTTTTTTTTTTGTGTTGAGCGGATATTTCCATAAAACAATCCTTTGTGAAAATGGACCCCAGGGTATGGCTATAAATTGAAAGGGTTGGGGATAATGCTGATGCTTTTAAAATATTTTCCAAAGTGGATATGACCAGAGAGAGGGAGAGAGAGGGATGGAGCGAAAAATGTATTTAAATATTAACAAAAATAAGATAAAGGCGAACGAACACAAAAAATGGAAACTAAAAGGATGTAATTTAAAATGTACAAAATTGAAAGATAAGCTTACCATTGGAAAATGTTACAGGCATGCTGGAAAAAATGATATTGAAAAAAAACATTAAAATATTTAAAACAAGAATTTCAAAAAATTAGATTTAAAAAAAATATTTTAAATAAATGTCAAAACGAATATTTTTATACCCTCAGCCTTATGGCTAATGGGGGTATATACACTTTGATACGGTGAAAATGTGCCTAATCGAAATATTGGTTTTAGGACCCATGTTTCATGGGACCAAATCCGTTGCAGAAAATTTGGAGTCGATATAGCCAAGTCCGTCCGTCTGTCCGTCCGTGCGTTTTCCGTCTGTCTGTCTGGTTGGCTGGCTGGTGCGCACGATAACTCTCGAAGAGAATAATCGTTTTCATCCAAACTTTGCACATCTTAATATTTCTTCCAAACTTAGTCTAAGTTCGAAGATGGGGAATATCGATCTACTCCTTCTGGTGCCTACCCCCACAAAATTGTGCTAAAAATTAATTTTATAATAACATACAAACGGACTATCCGATTTTAACGAAACTTTGTACAACTTATTATCTTTACCAAGCCTAGAAAATGGGACCCATTGGTCCATTCCATCTGGTACCTTCCTGAAGGACGAATCCAATATCAGGTTAATGGATGTCCGATTTGAACCAAACTTTGCTCAAGATCAAGTTCGAAGATGGGGAATATCGATCCAATCCTTCTGGTACCTCCTCCTCAAAATGGTCAAAATTTTGCTAATAATTAATTTTATAATAACATACAAACGAATATAACGAATATTTACGAATACAATATCAGGTTAATGGGATGTCCGATAAAGATAATACCAAACCTAGACTATGTAGGAAGATGGAACCCATTGGTCCACTCCGGCTGGTACCTCCCCCACAAAGGGTCAACATTTTCAATATTTACGAATCCAATATCAGGCTAATGGAATGTCCGATTTGAACCAAACTTTGCTCCAGATCAAGTTCGAAGATGGGGATTATCGATCCACTCCTTCTGGTACTTCCCCCAGAAAATGGTCAAAATTGTGCTAAAAATTAATTTTATAAAACATGCAAACGGACTATCCGATTTTAACGGAACTTTGTACAACTTTTTATCTTTACTAAGCCTGGACTATGTATTAATATGGGACCCACTGGTCCACACTTTCTGGCAAGTCCCCCACAAAGGGTCAAAATTTTCAATATTTACGAATACAATATCAGGCAAATGGGATGTCCGATTTGAACCAAACTTTGCACAAACTATTACCTTTTCCAAACCAAGATCAAGTTTGAAGATGGGGAATATCGATCCACTTCTTCTGGAACCTCCCCCACAAAGTGGTCAAAAATAGTGCTAAAAATTAATTTTATAATAATATGCAAACGGACTATCCGATTTTAACGAAACTTTGTACAACTTATTATTTTCACCAAGCCTAGATCAAGTCCGAAGATGAGATCCATTGGCCCACACCTTCTGGTACCTCCCCCACAAAGGGTCAACATTTTCAATATATACGAATCCAATATCAGGCTAATTCAATGTTAGATTTGAACCAATCTTTGCACAACTTATTGCCTTTACCAAGCCTAGATCAAGTCCGAAGATGGGATCCATTGGTTCACACCTTCTGGTACCTCCCCCACAAAGGGTCAACATTTTCAACATTTACGAATCCAATATCAGGCTGATGGGATTTCCGATTTGAACCAATCTTTGCACAACCTATTACCTTTACCAAGCCTAGATGAGGTTTCAAGGTGGAACTCATTGGTCCACTCCTTCTGGTACCTCCCCCACAGAGGTTCAAAATTTTCAATATTTATAAATCCAATATCAGGCTAAATCAATGTCCGATTTGAACCATACTTTGCACTGAAGATGGCACCAATTGGTCCACTCCTTCCGGTACCTTCCACACAAAAGGTCAATATTTAAATTATTTATAAATCAAATATTAGGCGAATGAATGCCCGATTTGAACCAATCTTTGCACAACCAATTACCTTTACCAAGCCTAGATCAAGTCCGAAGATGGGATCCATTGGTCCACACCTTCTGGTACCTTCCACACAAAGGGTCAAAATGTTCAACATTTATAAATCCAATATTAGGCGAATGGACTGCCCGATTTGAACCAAATTTTGCACAACCTATTATCTTTATTATTGCTATTGATCAATTTTTCTGTAAAATGGCACCAATTTTCGGTATTTTGACTCCTTCTGGTACCTTTTCCACACAAATTTGGTACAATATTTTTATACCCTCCACCATTTTATGGTATAAGGGCACACCCAATTTTCGGTATTTTGAGGTTCTTGAGCGCGATTTTCCACCGAATTCGCTGAAATTTGGTACATTGGGTTCTTATTGCGTACCAAATATCTCTACAAAAAATTATAAATATAGGTTCATTTTTTGGATAGCCCCCATATAACAGTACCCCCAAATTTTCGGTATTTTGAAGTTCTTGAGCGCGATTTCCCACCGAATTGGCTGAAATTTGATACATTGGGTTCTTATTGGGTACCAAATATCCCGGCCGAACTTAACACTTTTTCACTTGCTAATAATTATAAATCCAATATTAGGCGAATGGAATGGCCGATTTGAACCAAATTTTGCACAAGCTATTATCTTTACCAAGCCTAGATCTAACGCGAACATGGGACCCGTCTGCCATTTCTGGTACCTCCTACAAAAAGGGACAATTTTATATTTAATTAAACATATATAACTTATAAAAACGAATAATAAAACCTGTGTATAACTACGAAGACCTGCTCCGCAAAGCATAGGGTGAGGGTATATATCTATCGGCAACACCGACTGGCACTTTTTTTATACCCTTCACCACCCGGTGGTACAGGGTATTATGTCATTGTGCATATGTTCGAAAAAGGCGAAAGGAAACGAGATAGACACAAGGTCCTTTTTGAGAATATGCATAGAATCACTTTCTAAGTCGATTTATGCATGTCCGTGCGTCTGTCTGTCCATATTAAATTGTAAACAAAGTACTGGTTGCATATATTATTCGAATTTGATGAAATTTGGCACAGCATATTCATTTAGCCTAAGGACGAATCCCATTGAAATTGGGAAAAAATTGGTTCAGATTTAGATATAGCTCCAATATATTTTCGTCCGATTTAAGGTAAATGGTGCACCAAAGACCCTGTATATCTTTCGATTTGCACGAAATTTGGCATAGCGTACTGAATTGAGTCTAAAATGATGTGTGCTAAGTTTCGTGAAAATCGGTTCAGATTTAGATATAACTCCCATATATATTTTCGCCCGATTTAATGTAAATGGTGCACAAAAGTCCGAATATATCTTTCGATTTGCACGAAATTTAGCACAGCGTACTGAATTGAGTCTAGAATAATGTGTGCTAAGTTTTGTGAAGATTCATTCAGTTTTAGATATAGCTCCCTTATATATTTTCGTCCGATTTTACATAAATGGTGCAACAAACTCCTAATGTTTGTCCGATTGACACGAAATTTGGTTTTGTTGAAATTGGTGGCGATCCAGCCACAGCTTCCATATGTATTTCGAACAGGTGTCTGATAATAAGTCAACAGCTCCACGTTCTAACCCTGGTATATTTTCCAAATCTTGTTCTCCCGAGGTGAATATTTAACGCATAAAACTTTGGTTGATTTGACCCTCGGGGAATATAGACCGATCATCATCTACACAGCTGTTCTCAATAATTGTTCATATCCCCTTCACCGTGCAAAATATGTGATGTTCTGCATATAATAATGACCTCTAAAGCGACTAGAATATCTGGAAAAAATAAAGATTTCGGTTTATTGCACCTTAAGCACCATCTCAACATCACCGAAAATTATAGGCATCGTCATTGAGCATAACCGGAACATTATGTAAAATTTCAAAGCGATCATCGCGACATTTCCGCCCTCTAGTGGAGTAATAGTAGTACTAAACAATGTCATAGCACATAGACACCTTCAAATATTTACGTATAACTCTCACATCCGAATACATACAACCATACATATACAACCATGAACATACTGTCAACTTCGCGGGTCTGTGCCCTTCAGGAGTAATTATATACGCCATAGAATACAAAATTTGTCATTTTTCACACAAAAGTCAGGGTATATTTGACCCGTTAAATATTGTAGGATCTTTATGAAAACCGTCATCGTTATTCTTTCGTCCGATACCCTTCTTCATGTAAAATTTCGCGATGTTTGGGCCATAATTGCGGCCTCTGGAGCGACCAGAAAATCAAACAAAAACTACGTATTTAGTCCATTTCATCCCCTAAATATTAACCGATGTTTACCAAAAAAAAGTGGGGTCTTCATTGACCAGAACCCATCCGACATGCAAAATTTCGTGAAGATTGGTCCATAACTGTGGCCTGTATCGTGTTTACAAATTATAATGGACAGACAGATGGACGGACGGACGCACACACATGTCTAGATCGACTCAGCTCGTCGAGATATGACGATCAGTATACTTAAAAGTGGGTCTAGGACCAATATTTCGCGAAGTTACAAACTTTTGGAGCTGCACAAAGCTATAATACCCTGCCAACATAGTTGTGTGGGGTATAAAAATATATATATTTGGAATAATAAAATAGGCGTGATTTTTTTTTTTTTTTTTTTTTTTTGAATGATACTCTAGGGCAGGGTTTTTTTTAAGTTAATAAAGGTAAATTTTTTCAA